CTTGATGATATAGAAAAGGAAATTATCATAAAAAGCCACTCAGATGCATATTTGGGTGATGACCTATATAATGCAGAGTTTTAAAAAAGCATTCTTGCGGAAACATGAATGCACAATATACATTATTTAATTTCTGAATTTGTGGATGTTATTTTGTTACCACAAGGACATACTGAACAGGTACAAAATATCCATCATACCTGTTTTTAAAGTTTTTTTTCTCAGCATTCCATCATTAGAAATCATTTTTCCACATTTCATGAGACACAAAGCTATTTGCTAACTGCTAGTATCCTTTACTAAATGTATCCATTAGGCTTTATTAGTTTATTTGTTACATTATTGTGTTTACTCTTATTTATCTTTTGTCTTGTGGGTGTATCCTAATCTTATCTACATCAGCTCTGTAGGCAAAGAGACAATGAACTGGTCCAAATTTTACCCATTGAGCTCCCCAGTTCAGTCTATTGCCCTGATGTATTTTTGTCTTAAAAGCCTGACTAGGATCTTCGATTAATTAAGTTTGGATATTTGTAAATGGAAAATTATTAAGACCAGATATTGTGAACAAATACCTAACACGGTGTCCAAGCAATCAAAATGACATTTCTGTACATAGAAATCACCAGATGGAGTATATAAAAATCAAATTGCCTATATTATTGTTAAAAGCAGACAAAGGAGCACAGTTATATTATCAAAGGCATGGCCAGGTGCTGACTGTGGAACAGATTATGAACTGTTTAGATGCAGTTTCCAAGTTAAGCTAAAGAAGAAAGCCAGTCAGTTTCCACAATATGATCTTGAACATATGCCCACCATTTTCAAGAAGAACATTGGGAATTGCTTTGAAGTCCTGAAGCTCACTAATAGAAAATTGGAGGAATGATGGAATGAGCTTAAAGAAGCTGTGTGGGATAAATGTGAAAAGAAACTGCCAGTAGGGAAGGGGGGAAAAAAAAGCTAAACGGAATATAAGAATAAACTGTGGAAAATTGCAAAGAGGAGTAGACAAGACAAAAACCTCAGAAAAGGACTTAAAAGAATTTAAAACGGTTCTTAGAAGAGTCAAGAACTGTTATTATAACAACATCTGTAAAGGCATTGATGACACCGATAGAAGAAAATATTTGAAGATGGAAACAGGCCTAGAAAAATAAGGAAAGGCTTTCTAAAGAACTGAACTCAGAAGGGGGTTGCAACTTGAATTGGTTGGGTAAAGTACACTAATAGACAGATAGTAACCAATTAAAAAGAGATCAAATAAAGGTGAAAGCAATGTACTGTAATACTGTACAGGAGATATGTCAACATGCAAAATATATTGAAGGTATTCCCTTCTTATAAGAATCTCTGGTACTAGCAGTTAAAGTTAGATCAGCACTGCAGTCATTACCACCATTACCTACTCACAGAAATATACAAGCATCAGAAGAACCAATAAAATTTCTAAGTAAGCTATGTACCTGGAGAACAACAGAATGGCCAATAAATTGAAGAAAGTCAATTTACATTCAAACACCAAAAAAGAGAGACATGCAAACTATTGTAAAATATTTTTAACTTCACAGGCTAGCTAAATAGTGCTAAATATAATCCAACACAGATTACAGCTTTACATAGAAAAGGATACTAGAGCCACAGTGGCGCAGTGGTTAGAGTGCAATGCTGCAGGTTACTTCTGCTGACTGCCGGCTGCCTGCAGTTTGGCAGTTCAAATGTCACCACGTTTAAGGTTGACTCAGCCTTCATTTTACCGAGGTTGGTAAAATGAGGACCCAAATTGTTGGGGGCAATATGCTGACTCTGTAAACTGGTTAGAGAGGGCTATAAAGCTCTGTGAAGTGGTATATAAGTCTATGTGCTATTGTTATAAATATCTTCAGTGGTTGGCATTGTTACATCATGCACTGTAGTAGTTTAGTTGGAAAGGTAAGATTATTATTGTTTATGAAATAGCCTATCGCTTTGGGCTAATTATTTCATTCTTAAACACTGACAATGGATGCTCTGATTTTATGTTAATAAAGCTTAAATGCTAAGCACAGTTTCATAATATGCAATTTAGTTTCTTAGTGATAAAAAGTATCTATATGAAACTGACTTTAAAATAATACCAGCAATTTGTAAACCTGCTAAAATTCAGTTCTGTAGAGTTAGATACTAAGAGTTCCTTATACTTTTAGTTTATTTCTAAACACAGCAGTACAAATTATAAAATGCAATTTATATTTTATAACTTTATGGTCCAGTTCCAAAACTATTGGTAAGTTATGTTGCTAGTGAATCAAAATTATCGTTAACTGGCTCATCTTTCAGTTGATACTTAACAGAACAGTTGCATTGTTACTCAACTAAAATATACTTAAAACAAATGTCAGCATTTCTTTGTGACTTCATGTATTTATGATACATTGCATACTTCAGCTGTATTTTAACTGAAAATTGACAGATACCATATTTAGCTAAAAGCTGCAAGGGGAATTTAAATAGGTGGGATAAAATTACATAAATGAGAAATTGGCCTGGATATCAAGTTTACACCCTACCCTTATAAAAGTTGCCATAAAAAAAACCCTGATGAACAAATACAAAACTTTGCTTGACCTGAGTGCACCATGTGGTTTGCCTTGTCCATATGTATTTAAAGCTACTAAAAACCCAGCAAATGGATTGAGAATGTAGGTATTATTTCTTTGAAACATCTCTGTTGCTAAAGGTTGCCACCTTGTGAGAAAAGCAAAGAAGTATTCCTGCTCGCCCCCTTTTTAAGTAAAGAGGATTGAATAACAGCTGAAGTTTTAAGAAAGTAAATAACTCCACTGATAATAGATTAGATTTGTTAGGTCCTGAATCATTTGTGCATGCAGAAAAACAGCGTAGTGGTTAAAGCATCAAGATAGAAACTGGGAGGCCATGAGTTCTAGTCACGCCTTATACTCAAAGTCAGCCAGGTAACCGTGGACCACTAAGCTATTGGTGATCAGCTATAGGAAGGAGACAATGGTAAGCCACTTCTGAGAAACCTTGCCGATAAAACTGCAGGGATTTTTCCATGCAGTTGCCAGGATTCAAAAATTGACTTGATGGCACAAATAATTGTAATAGTTGACTCTCGTCATTACATTAGAGCAAACGTTTTATATAACTAAGTGACATTAACATGGTCACTAAAATAGGATGAGATGTTATAATACCTGCATCTATTTTTTTTTTTTTTGCTTTCTATAACTACTTTGTGATTTGATTAACCATACATTTAAATTATAAGTACATTTTCTATCCTTCACTGTATTAATGTATTAATACAGTCATATCTATGTTCAAATTTTTTCATTGCCTTTTTCTGTTGAGCTGGAACCAATTACCGTATTTTTCCATAGCAATATCATTTTGAACAGTGCATGTTTAATCTGATCCTTTCAACTGCACTAATCAAGACCTACCTTACATTAAAAGATATAGGTAGTCTTCAGCTTACAACCAGAATAGGGACTGGAAAATACACCAGTAAGCAGTACAGACATTAGGCGAGACATCATGGGACCATATCCAGTTTTATTATCCTTTTTCAATTGGTCGTTAAGTGAGACATATGTTTGTGACCTCCTTACAGCTTCTTTATTGACTTTACTTGTTGGAAGCGTGCTGGGAAGGTAGGAAATGATGTTCCTATTATCACCAGATACTGCAGTTGACAGAAATCCAGGCTGGTGTCTAAGCACTGGGTTTATATTGTGGCCAGGGGGACACTGCAGTAATCAGAAGTGTAAGGGCCACGTTTAATTTGCTTCTTTCCAGCACCATCATAATTTCAAGATGGGCGGCATACAAATAAACTAAATCTAAACAGTCACTAGACCAGGAGTGTCAAACTCAAGGCCTGCGGCCTGATCTGGCCTATGGGGTGCTTGGATCTGACCTGTGGGGCCTCCCTGGAAATAGTGAAGGACTGGCCCACGGTGTCTCTACCAGAAAAAAAGGAGCTTGGCAGGGCCGTATGCAGCCTTGCCAAGCTCCGTTTTCACTGGCAAAAAGTTGCAGAAGGCTGTTGCAGCCTAAAACGGAGCCCGGGAGCACGTTTTCTCTGGCATTGGGTGCCCCTGACATGAGCAATGGGAGCTGGCCCCACCCACCCTGGCCATATCTACTCTACCCCCACCCACTCCTGATGCGGCCTTCAGTGAAATTGAGTTTGACACTCCTGCCCTAGATGAATGGTTGAACTGAGCCACTACCTTTGGTGATGCAGTATAATCTATCTTACAGTATCAATTGCTGTAAGATGAGCAGGGTGTATCCTTTTACCCTCAAATCTTGCTTGTTGGCTTCCTAAAATTACTTTTATTAGCTATTGCATAGTAGAATGTTGGATTATATAACCCTTGATCAGATCTTACAGAATTACTCTGACGCTCATGAAGAGTTGATAATGATGGGCTGTTTTGCCAATGTTTCCTGTAATTTAATGAGATGTCAGAGCATTCTCAGATGTGTCTTTGTAACCATATGGTATAGATTTAAAGCACACACAAACATCTCACCTAAAGAGCATGCCAAATTACAGAATTTATATAATTTAGAGGCATGTCTTCACCAGCCGTGTGTATTAGTGTAATGTATGAGAGAAAATGTATAGTTACAGTGGTGTAATAAAACATAATGTAATAAACTATAGCTGGGTAACTTATATTGAAGACTTCTCTGTGTCTCTCTGTGTAGCACCAGAATAAACCACAGCATATTATTGTTTCAATCATGCCATTGCTATTCAGTGGAGCTTTTTAATACCTTATATTTCTTTTAATATATTTAAAGATCGAATAAATCAAAGATTTCTGAATGCATTTTGGCAAAGCAAGCAAGCCAGCTTTTTGTAATTATTGAAACCTATTGAAACTTTGACTATTGTACTTTATTTGCATGTGTTTTTTAAAAGAGACTTTTTTGCTTTTGTTTTGCATAGTATGCTGGCCGTAGTAAGAAAGAGACCAAGTATTCACTGAAAGCTGTAGAAGACATGTTGGAGGCGCTACAGATCACTCAGTCGTAAAGCTTACGAAGGATAACCGGTGGTGACAAGACTTCTTTCTCCAGTTCCATAACTGAAATTCTGTCCTCACAGACTTAAAAGTTAATTTTAAATACCTGATTGTTAACAGTGGTTTCATGTCAGCAAAAGTTGCTACCTTGAATGATACGTTTTATAAAAAATATAAGATTTCTATTTATTGCTTCTATGATGGAAAGTCACTGCAGTTAATAAAAAGAGTAAATTCTATTGAACATCAGTTTCTTCAGACCTGGTAGAGCAAATGTTTAAGCCATAACTTGATGTAAAAAATTAATTAAGTGATAACACAGGATTATTTATTGCACTTGGGGAAGTCTTCAAGATGTGTACAAAATAGAAGTCGCCTATGAAACATGAACTATGGATCAAACTTAAAAGTTCGCCACAATGATCAAGTAATATTCAGCTGGATATTTTGTATTGCACAATGCTATTTATATGACTAATATAAAATGGTAGAAAAATAGTAACTGCTAGACTTTGGACATTATGGATTAAGTACTGCATTTAAGTGAAGCCTTATTGGTAGAGTTACTTTCATGCTGCTGATTCTAACCTGCATCTGAAATGGCTCCTCCATTTGGTTTAGATAAATGAAGACAATTTTTTTAAAAATATAAAGATAATTTATTAAGCTTGCATGCCACCCAATTCACAACAATCAAAAGAAATTATAATAAAACTAATTAAAGATAAAAGGTGGCAAGAGGCAAGAACAAAATGGAATTCAGTCATGCTGAACTGGCTTTAGTAGCCAATTTGCCTACTTGGATTCTCTTCAAAATTGACCAGTTCCAGAGATTTTATTATGCTATCTGAAAATACACAGAAAAATGTACTCAAGGGGATGGTCAGACATTGAATTTCTTCCATGGCCTTACTAATGGATTTCCACTCTACAACAAATTGTGTTTATTATTGATTCTGTTACTGGGCTTTCAATGTAGAAGGGCTTTAGGGAGAATAACTAATGCTTTCTTTTCATTTGGAACTTTTCAAATATTGTGAAAAAGCATTTGTTTTAGCTTTTCTGAATTTGTGCATAACTTAAATATGCTTTCTGCGAAGAGAGAAAAAGGGAATTATATGCAACATGCTGGTGTGGAAAAGTAATCACTGCCTTAAATTCATAACTATTTAGTTGCAAAATCCACCCTTTTCCTATAACTTGCTTGCGCTGTAGGAATTTTTGCCCATTCCTCCACAGCAAACAGCTTTACTTCATTTTTAAAAATGCCTTTGTGCTTACTCCACATTCTTTGTCCAAATGCCAATTTCCATGCAATAGGAACGTAGTTCAAAAGAATGAACATCTGAAAATGGCTCAAAATTGAGTTATCTCAAAATTGAGTTAATACACATAATAAGTTCCAAAATGGATCTGTTGTAGGACAATGCAAGCAGCTGTTTAAATGGAATAGTCTCACTGCATCTCTTAACTTGACGACCCTGTCACTCAAGTCTTTCCTATGTAAATCTAGTGAATATGAAATGTTATTTTTGATTGAATAAATCTAAGATGTATTGAAGTGTTTGATATTGAATATGTCAAGCGAAATGAGAATCCAGCCAAAGTAGCAATCTCTAAGTCTTTATTCCATTCAGTGAGTGTGCATATCAAATGTATTCATTACAACATAATTGATCAAAAGTAATGATGGGATGCTTGATTGTAAGTTTCAATAACTACTTGTAGCAAACTAGGTATTTCCAAGGCTGGAATTGGAACACAGTTCAAAATACGGTGGTTTTTTTAAGGATTATTGTTTCATAAGGCCATTCAGTCATAAAAAATATTACATTGAACATATCCCAGGGTCTGGGGGTGAATTCTTGTCAAGGTACAAAAACACATTTCCAAGTATGTTAAAGGACAACTGGTTTTTTTTTCATCTATGTCAGATAAGCTGCATTCAGATTGAAGAATCAGAAATTGTGTTTAAATTACAGTATATTTTAATTTTTCTACCACCTTTATTTTAGATGTAAACAATGCTTGGATTAATAATAGATATTAGAGTATGTGTTTTAAACTTTTACCGTATCCATATTTATTCGACTAAGAACAAATGATAGAGATTGTTTTTTTTAAATGGATTAGAAATCAATTTGATATTTAAATTAACACATTAATTTTAATAACAAGTAGTCCTTGTTTAGTGACTGACTCATTTAATGATCATTTCCAATAATAATAATGATGAAAAAGTAACTTTGAGACAAGTTCTCACATATATCCTCTGAGGGAG